TGGCAGAATGGATAAAATTACATATCCAATTCTACACTGCCTATAAGAGACTCATTTGAGATCCAAGACAAATAGTTTGAAAGTAAAAGGATTGAAAAGATATTTTATGCAAATAGTAGCCAAAAGAAAGCAGAGGTGGTTGAATGTCATACAAAATAGAAATCAAGAAAGTTTACAATAGCCAAAGAGGGACAGTATATATTCATAAAAGATTCAAAATAGCAAGAAAACATAATAATTATAAACATTTATGCATCAAATAATAAATCACCAAAACACATGAAATAAAAACTGATAGAATTAAGGAGACAAATAGAGAGTTCTACAATAATACTTGGAGACTTCAATACCCCACTCACAATAATGGATAGAACCAGACCAAAGATAAGAAAATAGAGGACTTAAACAACACTAGATCTAATAAACAAACAGAACACCTCAACCAATAACAGCATCTACATTCTTCTCAAGTTCACATGGGATATTTTTCAGAAAAGACGATATAATATGCCACAAATTGTTTCAATAAATTAAAAAAAATAGATGTCATATACTAAATATCTTCTCTGACACAATGAGATGAAGTTAAAAATCACTAACAAAAGTAAAATTGGAAAATTCACAAATTTGTGGAAATTAACACAACCTTAAACAAAAAAGAATCAAAGAAGAAATCATAAGGAAAATTTGAAAATACTTAGAGATAAATGAAAACACAACATAACAAAAGTTATTGGACACAGTAAAAGCACTGCTCGGGGAAATTTACGGCTATGCATGCTTACCTTAAAAAAGAAAAATCTCCAATCAACAACCTAGCCTTACAACTTAAGGAACTAGAAAAAGAAGAGCAATTTAAATCCAGATCTAGCAAATGGAAGGAAATAATAAGGAATAGAGCAGATTAAAATAAAGAACGTAAAAAGTATAGAGAAAATCAATGTAATCAAAAGTTGGTTCTTTGAAAAAATCAACAAAATTGACAAAACTTTAGCTAGGAAAAAAGATGATTCAAATTATTAAAATCAAAATTGGGGCACCTGGGTGGCTCAGCCAGTTAAATGTCTGCTTTTGGCTCAGGTCATGATCTCAGAGTCCTAGAATCGAGCCCCACATCAGGCTCCCTGCTCAGCGGGGAGCCTGCTTCTCCCTCTCCCCCTGCCTGGCACTCCCCCTGCTTGTGCTCTCTCTCTTTCTCTCTCTGTCAAATAAATAAAATCTTTAAAAAAATAAATAAAAATCAAAGAGACATTATTACTGATTCTACAGAAATAAAAGGATTATTGGAAAGTACTACAAAAACTGTATGCCAATGAATTAGATAACCTGGATGAAATGGATAGACAAATTCTTAGAAACACAAAACCTAAATTTAACCTAGCAAGACTAAATCATGCATAAACAGAAGAACAGATTAAGACCTATATAACATAAGAATGTTTGTCTGTAATCAAAAATCTCCCCAAAAAGAAAAGCCCTGGACCAATCCTTTTCAAACTTTTCCAAAAAAAATTGAAGAGGAGGGAATTCTTCCTAACTGATTCAATGAAGCCAGCATCACCCTGATTCCACAGCCAGGTGAAGTCACCACAAGAAAAGAAAACTTCAGATCAATGTTTCTTATGAACACTGATGCAAAACACCTCAACAAATTACTAGCAAGCCAAATTCAGGGCATTTTCAAAGATTATACACTATAACCAAGCGAGGTTTATTCCTGAAATGGAATGTAAGAATGGTTTGATATACCAAAATTCATTAACATAATTTGACACATTAACATAATGAGAAAAAAACACATCATCATCCCATTTGATACAAAAAAATCATCTGACAAAATTCAACACCTTTTCATAACAAGAACATTTAAGAAACCAGGAATTAAGGAAACTACCTCGACATAATAAAAGCCATATATGAAAAACCTACAGTGATCACAGTCAATGGTGAAAGACTGAAAGTTTTTCCTTTAAGATCAGGAACAAGAGGGGTGCCTGGGTGGCTCAGTCATTAAGCATCTGCCTTCAGCTCAGTTCATGATCCCAGGGTCCTGGGATCGAGCCCTGCATTGGGCTCCCTGCTCAGCAGGAAGCCTGCTTCTCCCTCTCCTATTCTCCCTGCTTGTGTTCCCTCTCTCACTGTGTCTCTCTCTGTCAAATAAATAAGTAAAATCTTGGGGCGGGGGGAAGATCAGGAACAAGGCAAAAATGCCCAGTTTGCCACTTCTATTCAACACAGAATCGGAAAATCTATCCAGAGCAGTTAGACAAGAGAGAGAAATAAAAGACATCCAAATTGGAAAAAAGTAAAACTATCTCTGCTCATAGACAATGTGATCTTATATACAGATAACTCTAAAGATCACACTCTCACACACACAACACACACACACACACACACACACACACACACTGTTAGAATAAATGAACTCAGCAAAGTAACAGGATATAAAGTCAACATACAAAAATTGCATTTATATACACTAACAATGAACAATATGAAAAGAAAATTAGAAAACAATTCCACTTACAACAACATCAAAAAGAATACAATACTTAGGAATTAACAAAGGAAATGAAAGAATTGTCCAATAAAAACTACAAAATATTGCTGAAAGAAATTAAAGATGACATAAATAAACCTCAAGTGAAAATCTCAGGGAATTTCAGGAATTTCACTGAATAGCCAAAACAATCTTGAAAAGGAAGAACAAAACTGAAGGATTCACACCACCTAATTTCCAAACTTACTACAAAGCTACAGTAAACAAAACAGTGTAGTACTGGCACCAAGATAAACATATAGACCAATGAAATAGAACAGAGATCCCAAAAATAGATTTCCATAACTATGGTCAATTGATTTTCAACAAGGGTGCCAAAACCACTGAATGGGGAAAGGACGGTCTTTTCAACAAAAGATGCTGAGAAAACTAGCTATCCACATGAAGAAGAATGAAGTTGGACCCTTACCTAAGACCAAATACAAAAATTAACTCAAGATGGATAGGGTATAAATATAAGACCTAAAACCATGAAACTTTTACATGAAAACATAGGGGAAAAGCTTCACAACATTGCATTCAGCATTGCTTTCTTTGATATGATGACAAAAGCAACATAAGGAATAAAAAGGTAAATTGGATTTCGTGAAAATTTTTAAATTTTGTACATCAAAAGATACTATCAGGGGGCCTGGGTGGCTTAGTCAGTTGAGCGTCCAACCGCCGGTTTCAGCTCAGGTCATGATCTTGTGTCATGAGGTCAAGCGCCTACATAGGGCCCTGCACTAAGCAGGAAGTCTGGTTGAAGATTCTCTCCCTCTGTCCCTCCCCCCATACATCTAGATGTATGTTTTTGTAGGTTTAATATGCCAGTTTTGAATATCCAACAGTGATTTCTCAGTTCTATAACTTCTCATATGCTTGACTAGAGCATGAAGGAGAATCATGTGTGCTGTTAAAGCTGATGTATAGAGTTGGTCATTTATTTTACTTATAAATAAACCTAGTTAACTTCCGATCATCTGATCAATTTCATATTTCTTTTCATCAAATCATTTGATGAACACTTAATAATTTCTAGGTACTATTCTAAGCATTTTGCATGTACTAACTCATTTACTGTTCAAAATAACCTTCACAGGCTCTATTATTAGAGGAAAAGGATGTGCAGCATTATTTACAAGAGCCAAAACATGGAAACCACCCAAGTGCCTATCAATAGATGAATGGATAAAGATGATGTGGTGGAATATTACTCATCCATACAAAAGAGTGAAGTCTTACCATTTGCAACAAAATGGAAAACTTGGAGGGCATTATGCTAAGTGAAGTAAGACCGAGAAATACCAATACCATACAATTTCACTTATATGTGGAATATAAAAAACAAAACAAAAAACAGACTCTTAAATACAGAAAAGAAACTAGTAGTTGCCAGAGGGGAGGTGGTGGAGGGATGGGCAAAACAGATAAAAGGGATTAATAGATACAAATTTCCAGTTATGAAATAAATAAGTGATGAAGATGAAAAGTACAGCATAAAGAATGTAGGCAATAATATTGTAATAATGTTGGATGATGACAGATGGTGATGACACTTATTGTGGTGAACACTGATTAATGTATAGAATTATACATCAATCAATATCCTATGTTGTATACCTGAAACTAGTATAACACCATATGTTAATTATACTTCAATAGAAAAAAAGATGAAGAAACTGTACTTTTAATATTTTAAATAAGTTCTCAATATCATACCACTAATAAATGGTGAGACTAGGTTTCAAGCCTCAGCAACCTGGTTCCGAAATCCATGATCATAATCACTAGGCTATATTCCCTTCAAACACATATAAGTTCGTGTGAAAGGATAAGCATATTTTCCTTTTAAAAAATGACCCCCAGGGCACCTGGGTGGCTCAGTGGGTTAAAGCCTCTGCCTTCGGCTCGGGTCATGATCTCAGGGTCCTGGGATCAAGTCCCACGTTGGGCTCTCTGCTCAGCGGGTAGCCTGCTTCCCCCTCTCTCTGCCTGCCTCTCTGCCTATTTGTGATCTCTCTCTCTGTCAAACAAATAAATAAAATCTTAAAAAAATAAATAAATAAAAATAAAATAAATAAAATAAAAAATGACCCCCAAAGGGGCGCCTGGGTGGCTCAATGGGTTAAAGCCTCTGCCTTCAGCTCAGGTCATGATTCCAGGGTCCTGGGATCGAGCCCCACATTGGGCTCTCTGCTCAGTGGGGAGCCTGCTTCCTCCTCCTCTCTCTCTCTCTGCTTGCCTCTCTACTTGTGATCTCTGTCTGTCAAATAAATTTTTAAAAAAATGACCCCCAAAGAAAGCTATGCATAATTTAAGTCTGAATTTGGAGATTTTCAGAAGGTTAGAATTATTATCTCAAAAAAGGCATCGATCAAGTGCATATTTTTTGTTTGTGAAACTAATTCTCGAGACTGATTATTAAGGCACTGAGACATTTAATAAGTACTGTTACCTTTCAACAACTTGTTTATGGATATTTTTCCACTGCTCTTTGTCTGAATCAGTTCCTAATTTAGGGTCTAGAGTCTTCAGAGCAACACCAGCAACATTCACCCCACTCCATAAAGGCACTGAAAGAAATATATCTCAGAATAAATTCTTCTTTCCAGTACGGCATCAGTTCTTTGAGTTCGGTGGGTTTCTATTATAAAGTTAGGTAACTATCTTACACATATATAAAAATAAGTTTTAAATGGACAAAGGAAACAAAAACCAAAATTACAAAGTATTAGAAAAATATGTAGTAGAAGTTATTTGTAATTGTGTGGTATAGGAAGCATTTAAAGCAAGATAATGTCTGCAGAATCCACAAAGAAAAAGATGAGATAAAACATCAGAAGGAGCTTGAGGGAAAAGAGCAGTAAACACTACTCAACAGTAACAAAGAGCTGACTGGGAGTAACTGTCAACTTGGAATTTCGTATCGGTTAAACTCTCATTCAACAATGAGGTGAGACTAAAACACTTTCACATGAACAAAACTGACAAGATATACTTCCTGAAGATATACTTCAGGAAGAAAGAACTGAATCCAGGGGAAGGAGACAGATACGGGAAATAAAGGTAAGCAATACAACTGGCAAACAGGTACACAAATCCAGACAGGTGTTACACTTAAATAGTAATAACTAGTTTGGAGAGATGAAAAGAGAATGGAACCCCAAAAGTAGTTAATACTGTTGTCCCTTGAACAACACAGGTAGAACTGTGTGAGTCCCCTTATACACGAATTTTTCCTAGTAAGTATATTGGAAAATGTTTTGGAGATGTGCAACAATTTGAAAAAAACTTGTAGATGAACAAGGTATTACTATAAAGAAAAGAGCATATAATATATATAACATACTTTGATTGAATTAACTGCTTATGTTACCACTAAGGCTTCCAGTCAATGGTAGGCTATCAGTAATTAAATTTGGTGGGAGTCAAAAGTTATATACAGATTTTCAACTATGTGCGGATTGGAACCCCTAACCTCCATGTTGTTCAAGGGTCAACCGTAATTACATATGTGAGAGAACAAGGACAGTCAAACTTAATACATTCTAAGGTCTATTCTAAAGAAGAATAAACAGACTAATTATTTTGAGGTCAAGTATGAAATAGGTAACCACTTACAAAGTAAGTGTAGAATCCAAAGTAGTAGAAGAAATTAAAGAAAGTTTAACTGATTAAGTAGAAAGCAGTAAAGAGAAAAGAAACAAAAGAAAATCTCACTAAATTGAATAATAAATATATTCAAATCAATACTAATCAGAATATACTACTTTATAAAAAATAAAATTATGGATTATTAAATGTGAAACATTAAAACATACCTAGGAAAATCAACTTTAAGGACTTTGAGGAGGAAGAACTGAGTTAAGAAAATAACACAAGCAAAAAGGGTCAAATTAAGGCACTCATAAAACAAATATTTATCTAAGTCAAATCAAAAACATTTGTTTTCTAAAGTAAAACACCATGGTATGAGAAGTTCAGCTTGGGAAAAGGAAGAACAGTAATTGAGAGAGGTCATGAAAGTGTTTTCTAGTGCATTTATCAGAATGGTAATTACACAGATATGTTCACTATTTGATGATGATTTATTGAGCTATAAATTTATATTCTGTACAATTTTTCAGCATGTGTTATATATACTTAAGTGAAAAAAGTTTTAAAGTATACAGTAAATTTTATCATGATTTTAAGAAAATTTATTATATTACGACCCTCGAAGTAAAAGGAAAATAGAAGGGCTCATTAAATGTTTTGAACTAATGAATGATTAAATGAACAAATGCTCCCTATTCCCTATAAAATGGGTTTATTGACATTATGGAAAGATTTGCATGTATGCCACAATTAAAGAACACTGTAAGTAGTAGAAAGTTCTAACTATGCAGCAGATATTAAATGTTTAAGTTCAGAAAAGAAAAAGGTTGGTGTGGCCTAAGTAATAGTTTAAACCACGTATTATATAATATTACTTACATGAAAAATCTGAAATAAGTGAATCAGAAAGTAGATTAGTGGTTGCCTGGGGCGAGGGTTGGTGTGAGCACAGGAATGGGAGTTTCTTTTTGGGGTGATGAAAATGTACTGTAATTATCTTGTAGTAATGGTTGCACAACTCTTTGAATATACTAAAACCCATACACTTTAAATGGATGAATTTTATAATATGTGAATTATATCTTAATAATCTTGTTAAAAAAATCAAAGTAAGTTAAAGTTCTCCAGATATGAGAAACTCATTGACTTTAAAACAGCTATATGCTATGGGCACTATTTTATGAGAAGTAGCTAAATCCATGAACAGAAGACAAAGTATAGGAATAGAAAAAGATATACCAGGCAGTACCAACAAAATCAAAGTTATGTAGCTATATTAAAATCAGGGAAAAAATGGACTTTAAAGAAAATAAGCATGATTAGAGATAAGTATGATTACGTAATGATAACAGGTTTATACTTACCACTAGAATCACCATGTTCTCCAATAATCCAACCATGGCAGCTTGCGGGATGGACACCCAACTTCTCTCCAATTAGGTAACGGAAACGGGCAGAGTCTAGATTACAACCACTTCCAATTATACGAGTTGCAGGTAAGCCACTTAGCTTCCAGACCACATATGTCAAAATATCCACTGGGAGGAATAATTTGTTAGAAAAAAATTAATGGTAACTTCCTTCTAAAATTTTCTTTCCTAAATAGATAAATTGTCTTTTTAAACTTTTATTTTATTATTTTTCTTAAGTAGGCTCCACGCCTAGCATGGAATCTAACGTGGGGCTTGAACTCATGACCTCGAGGTCAAGACTTGAGCTGAGATCAAGAGTTGGATGCTTAACCAATTGAGCCTCCAGGCACTCCTAGATAAACTGTCTTAAAATCAAATACAGATTCATTACAGAGTCTAAAGTGAAGCAAATCAACAAATAAGGATTATCTCTCACAAAGGTGTTAAAAAGGTTAAATTATTCATGATGGAGCACCTAGGTAGCTCAGTCATTAAGCATCTGCCTTTGGTCAGGTCATGATCCCAGGGTCCAGGGATGGAGCCCCACATTGGGTTCCCTGTTTGGTAGGAAGCCTGCTTTCCCTCTCCCACTCCCCCTGCTTGTGTTCCTGCTCTCGCTGTCAAATAAATAAAAGCTTTAAAAAAATTATTCATGATAAGAATTTTAAATTAAAAAAAAAAGTCTCTTGAGATGATGTATCTGTATTAAATAAGCGGTCAATTAATTCTACCTTCTTAAGCACACCTAGATTTCGCCTCTCCCTCACCACAGCCTCATCTAATCTATCAGCATCTCCTACCTAGAAAAAGGCCACATGCATGATCAGGGCCATATGCAGATGTGAACGACAAAATTCAACATTCATTCATGAAAAAAAAAATACTTTCTGGGGTGCCTAGGTGGCTCAGCCAGCTCTGTGTTGGACTCTTGATTTCGGCTCAGGTCTTGGTCTCAGGGCCCTGGGATTGAGTGCTGTGTTGAGCCCCATTTCGGGCTTCCTGCTGAGCAAGTCTGTTCAAGATTTTCTTTTCCTCTCCCTATGCCCCACCCCCTGCTTGAGTGGGCTCTTTCTCTCTAAATAAAATCTTAAAAAAAAAAAAAAACTTTCTACAACTGTAAAACGAAGGGAATTTCATAAAAAACTCACATTAAACATCATACTCAATGATGAAAGACTGAATGCTTTCCCCACAAGAAAAACAATCAGGTAAGTATGTACCCTCTGGATATTTGGGCAAGGGTGACACATGCCACTAACACCAGAGGACGGAGATATAAATAGTATTTACTGGAGAAAATGTTAGAAGTAGAGAAATAAGGAAGCACACAGTGTGCACTAAAATCTCATTATCCCACAGCACAAGTTAGACAGGGATCCTCTGTACACAATACAGCCAAATGCAGAGGAGCCTCCTTTGGCCAGCAAGCTGGGTGTTCTCTAGAAACTCCTCCAAGAGCAAGAACAAGTCTCACCACCACACTGTTACATATCTGTAAGTTAGCTTTGGAGGGGGAAAGGAACGCTTAGTTTCCTTAAGTAACAAGAAATTTATCAAGGAGTATCTGGGTCTAGCAATAATAAGGAATATGTATTTCCAGGACCAAGGGCCACAGATGCCAGTAATGCTGATTATCAGCTTAAGGCCTTGCTGTCCCTCCATAAGCTGGCTCAATTCAGCTGATACAGCTCTCTGATAAGCTACCAAAAGGAGGAAGGAAACAAGCCTCCAGTCAGCAGATTTGTATCTCATTACTACTTACACTGACCTTTGTGCTGGGGGGGTCCTAACCAGTGGAACGAGGCAAGGAAATAAATAGGTCTTTACATTGGAAAGAAAGAATTAAACTTAATAAAACTGTTTATAGATGAGAAGATAATATAGACAAAATATCTTAAGAATTTGAACAAAATTACTAGAATTAGTAAGTGATCTTAGCAATGTTTTCAAGATACAAAGTCAATATGAAAAAAACAGTGGTATTTCTACATACTAGCAATAAGCAATGGGAAAATGAAATGTAAAGACAATTTTTTTATAATAGCATCAAAAATATGAAATGCTTAGGGATAGTTTAATACAATTTGTGTAAGACCTATATCCTGAAAACTACAAAACACTGCTAAAAGAGAATGAAGAAGACATACATACATGAAGAGATATTCCATATTCATGGACTGGAAGACTCAACAGTGTTCAGATACAATCTCCAAATTAATCTATAGATTTAACAATCCCAATTAACATGCCAGCATGTGTTTTTTATAGAAATGGATGATCTAATTATAAAATTTATGTGAAAATGATAACAACACGTAATACCCAAAGTAATTTTAGAAAAGCATAACAGAGGGAAAAAAAAAAAAGAAGAGCAAAGACGATTTACATTAACTGATTGGAAGATTACACTAGTAATCAAGATAGTGTGATAATAACAAAGGATATATATGAAGATCAATGAAAAAAATAGAGAATCTAGAAATAGACTCACATAAATGATAATTTTCAAAAAAGTTATCAAAGCAATTCAAATTAAAGACTTATTCTTAATGTTGCTAGAAAAACTAGATATCATCTTTGAAAAAAATGAATAACACCTTACATCAAACACTAAAATTAATATGAAATAAGCTGCAGTCCTAAATATAAAAGATAAAATGATAGGGGTGCCTGGGTGGCTCAGTGGGTTAAAGCCTCTGCCTTCGGCTCAGGTCATGATTCCAGGGTCCTGGGATCAAGCCCCGAATCAGGCTCTCTGCTCAGCGGGAAGCCTGCTTCCCCTCCCCTCCTCTGCCTGCCTCTCTGCCTACTTGTGATCTCTGTCCATCAAATGAATAAAATCTTTGAAAAAAAAAAGATAAAATGATAAAACTTATAGGAAATAATAAGGAGAAAATCTTCAGATTTAGGGTGGGCTAAAGACTTCTTAGCTAAAAGTCAAAAGAGTACAGGGGCACGTGGGTGTCTCAGTTGGCCAGCTCCTGATTTTGGCTCAGTTCACAAACTCAGAGCTGTGAGAGGGAGCCCTTCATAGGGCTCTGTACTCAGTGCTGAGTTTGCTTGAGAGCTTTTTCCTCTACACCCCTCCCCCTGCTCATTCTCACTCTCCCTCTCTCAAATAAATAAACAAATCTTTAAAAAATAATAATAAAAAATTAAAGTCAAAAGAGCATAAAACATAGATAAGAAACTGATAAACTGGACTTCACCAAAAGACATACTTTACTCTTTGAAAAATACCATTAGGAACACAAAAAGGCAAACTACAGACTGAAAGAAACTTATGTAATACCTGTATCTGACAAAGGGACTTGTATACAATGTATATAAGAACTCTTATAATTCAACAATTAAAGGTTGAGTTATAGGTCAAAAGAATTAAAAGTCAAAAGATATAATTTTTAAATATTAACAAAAGAGATGCACAGAGCATTCACAAAAGAAAATGTACTAATAGCTAAGGAACACAAGAAAAATGCTCAACATCTTTGATCATGAAGGGAATACAGTTAATTAAAACCATAATGATATTAGAATGACTAAAACTGAAAAGACTGACAATACCAAATGTTGTCAAGGATGTGGAGAAAGTAGAGCTCTCTTCTAGTGCTAATGGGAATGTAAAATGAACAATCACTTTGAAAAACTGTTTGGCAGCTTCTCATAGAGTTAAACATACACATACTATGTAAGCCATCCTGGTTATTTACCCAGAGAAATAATGACATACACCCATGAAAATACTTGTTCACAAATGTTTATAGCAGCTTTATTCATAATAGCCAAAAACTGGAAATAACCTAGTATCTACCAATGGATAAAGGGATATGAATGGATAAACAAAGAAAATCTTAAATTATTTGAAAGATTAATTACTCTTCAGCAGTTAAAAAAAAAGGGGGGGGCACCTGGGTGGCTCAGTGGGTTAAAGCCTCTGCCTTCGGCTCAGGTCATGATCCTAGAGTCCTGGGATCGAGCCCCGCATTGGGCTCTCTGCTCAGCAGGGAGCCTGCTTCCTCCTCTCTCTCGGCCTGCCTCTCTGCCTACTTGTGCTGTCAAATAAATGAATAAAATCTTAAAAAAAAAAAAAGGAACAGATCATTGATATACTGAGCAACATGGATGAATCCCAAAATAATCATGCTAGGTGAAGGAAACCCAACAAAAAGGATTATATTCACTAATGAATGTATGATGCCATTATATGAGATTCCAAAAAACGGAGCCAGAGGTAGAATAAGCGACAGACTGCAAAGAGGCACAAGAAAAGTTTCAGAGGTAATGGAAATGTACTTATCTTGATTATGGTGGTGGTTTCAGGAGTGATTACATCTATCAATACCCCCTGCGGAATGACATCAGCAACACAGCCAAATAAAACAAACCTTCTTACCACCCACTCCTCAAAACCAACAATCCAGTATCCACCCATGGACAAAAGTGCCTTTGTTGGATCAGTAGGATTCAGCACTATATGCCAAGGAACCCAGAAGGAGACTCACACACCCATGTGTCAGGCATGTAACAGGCACAGAGGCTTCAGTCCCAGCTGTGGACTCTGCAATGGCCCATGAGCCAATTCCAGCCCCACTTTACTGCAGTCCAGGAGCCCCTGGAAAATACCATCTTAAGACAATCCACCCAGGGATAGGACAGCCTTTCTGGAAGTTCAGGTTTCCAGCAGAGAAGAGCCAGCACACCACTGGGGCAAAATAATGAGCTTGGGTGCATTGTAGAGGGTGAGAGGAACAGTGTGACTTTACATACATCACTCCTCCCGCAAGGTGGAAGAGCCCAGTGCCAAAAGAGATAATCTTAGCACATGATTTCTCCCACAAAGGAAGTCTGAGTGTGTGAGTAAGCGTCTACCTTCACTAGCTATGCAAACTCCTGCCAAAGAAGCCCACTTTTCTCACTCCATCCAAAGTACTGAGTCCTGTGCTGCATGGCTGGGGAATGAGGAGAAGCTAAGACAGTGGCAGACAGGACTCTCAAAGGGGCGGTACGAGATACAGATCCTACTAAATGTGCCGTGGACTCCATCAAGAAGTGTGCCCTTGAGCCACTGGGAATGCCTTGGCAGTGGATCGGCTGCCAGTATGTACTGTGTGCTCGGCTCCCAGTAT